TCTCCCGCATCGGCCATTAGTTGTTTTCTTAATCTTAACCATTCTTTTTGGGGTGAGATGAAATCTCAAAATAATTTTAATTTTTCAGTTCCCCAATTACTAAGGGTGTTGAACACTTTTTGAAATATTTCTTAGTTATTTTTTATTTCTTCTTTTAGAACTCTTTGTTGAGATCTGTGCTCATTTTAATCTGGCCATTTGTTTTCATAATTCTTTTATTTTTGAATTCTTCATATATTCTAGATGTTAATCCTCTCAGATGGATAGTTTGCAAAGATTCTCTTCCACTCTGTCAGTTGTCTCTCCACCTTACAGATTATTTGCTTTGTTTCACAGAAACATTCTAGCTTTGTGAAGTCCCATTTGTCAATTTTTTTGCCTTAATTTCAGAGCAAATGAAGTCCTATTCAGAAAGCCCTTTTCTATACCTTGATCTTCGTAGGTATTACCTATATGTTCTTCTATCAGTTCCAGGGTTTCAGGCTCCACTTTGAAGTCTTTGATCAACTTGGAATTTATTTTTTTCTTCAGGGTAATATTATGGTTTTAATTTCATTCTTCTATGTATGAACATCCAGTTTTCCCAGCACTGTTGGTTGGAGATGATATCTTTGTTGCAGTGTGTATTTTTGGCATCCTTGTCAAATATCAGAAAGCTATAGTTGTATGCACTCATATTTGGGTCTTCTATTTCCTTCCACTTGCCTATATGTCTGTTTTTGTGACAGTACCATGCTGTTTTTATTACAATAGCTCTGTAATGTAGCTTGAAATCATGTATGGTAATCCCCCCAGCATTGAGTTATTCTCCCAGTCTTGCTTTGGTTGTTTAGGGTCTTATATGGTTCCACATGAAGTTTAAGATAATTTTTTTTTCAATTACTGTGAAGAATGTTTCAGAGATCTTTATTGGGATTACATTGAGTCTACAAATTGCTTTTGGTAGACTGTTCATTTCACATTATTCATTTTACCAACCCATGAGCATGGAAGGTCTTTATTTTTTTCATCTAGTGTCTTTTTCAATTTTTTTAAAATTAGAGATTTAATTGTAGAGGCCTTTCACTTTCTTGGTTAAGTTTAGTTCTAGATATTTTAATTTCATAGGCTATTTATTGTGAATGAGATCTCTTTCTTAACCTGTTTGTTACTGAAATATAGGAAGGTTACTAAGCCAATTTTCTCTTCCTACTTTGCTGAAATTATTGCTTGTTTCTCCATGTTGTCTGATGGAACT